CAATACGAAGACGAAGAACTTTTAAGGCTCCGCGAAAACCTTTCTCACGAGATAAAATACATATATATGTTCAGCCCTTTGTCGACCCGCTGCTGGATGAGGGCCTCCCTACGGCGTGCCGGCCACGGGGGTTGTTTTTATGATAGAGTGGCACGCTGCTCAGCGCGAGTTGGTGAAGGGGGCATTGGAGGGGTGGCACAGATATGGCCCATCGCTGACATGAGCGACGCGCTACGATGGAACTCGGGGCGCTGGGTTCACGGCACAGTGCCGCTAACTACAGTGCCACAGCTCGCCATCATCGATCGCACTTGATCAATGACCCACTTTGTAAAGTACGGTCTCGACGTCAGTGCGTCACTGCTGTTTTTTCCCTTCTGCTCTGCATGGTCCATGGCCTGAAACGTCACCTGATTATACATATCTCTGTTATGAGTGCACTGACCACTGCATTACCACTCGCGCCTGGGTAAACACATTTATATGACATATCTGTTCTTGTAATAAATGCACTTCTTGGTAAATAAATGTACACGTAGATATTAACAGCAGTTTAAGTTTAGCCATCACTCTCTGCACTGGCTTCCAGTTTCACACGGTACAACGTTTCGTTTAAGATACACATCTCTCAACCATCTCACCCCAGCCTACCTCAGAGACACATTGTACCCATTTGTCCCCTAAAGGTCTCTAAGATCTGGGAGGGGGGGCCAGGGAGGCGATGGACATCTCCTCCGTGCTTTCCCAGGTCGCGAGAGGTTTCGGTCGATGGGCATGGGCGAGAGAGTCGTTCCCCGCGTAGCCCCCACAATCTGGAACTCTACTCTACGAGATCTCGGCATCTTTGAGTCTGCGTAGTAAAAAAAATTTAACCACGGTCTTTAAACTTATTCATACGCGTCCGTTTATTCAACTATTATTTAATTCAGAAAATAAAGTTTAGCAGTTATTTTAGTACTTTTCATAAATTGGCATCACGAGTTATATTCAAGCCGAGTGTTTTACTGCTTTGAAAAGGCCGATGAAGGGGCGCAATACAAATTTAACCTAATAATAATAATAATTGTATTATCACCACCACCGCCGCCGCTGCCGCAAAAACGAAATATGAACGTGACAGAACCATCTCCTCGGTCGGGTCAAATCGTTGGGACTGCGGCTTGGAATAGGGCGAAGGGCGGGGGTGGTGGGGGGTGGTGTGGAGAGGGGGGGGGGCATGGGGGTCTGCAAAGTGCTGCTTTAGTTGAATGTAGAGGGGGAAACGCTTGGCTCTAATTGAAAGTAATTGGAGCAGCTCGGCTAGAAAGCAATTAAAGCCCTGCCAGCAAAGTGGGTCCATATACGCTGCGCCCGTATATATATTGATGACTCAGCCAACGAGAGCTATTTTAATTTGTGGATCGTTAACTCGGCCGCCTATTCTATTAGACTGCGTTATTAATTGGCCGCATGCGTAGTAATTGCATGAGAGGGTTTTGTTGTTGTTGTTTGTTTCGCACGCAAGAAGGGCTCTACATTGAATTATTGCGAATCCCGGGTCCCAACGAATGTCGACCGCTCAACGCTTTTGAGGTTCCCACTTTGTCAGTGGCGATGCGGTGGTGTCTGGGCAGTCAGGCAGGGTGGTGACGTCAGGCAGGGTGGTATCATCTGGCAGGGTGGCGTCAGGCAGGGTGATGTCAGGCAGGGTGGTGACGTCAGACAGGGTGGCATCAGGCAGGGTGGTGACGTCAGACAGGGTGTGGTGCTGCTGGGTCCGTGCTACACCCCGCCAGTGGGGATCCGCCAGGCACAACATCTCCGGGGCGGGAAGAGGCATGGAAGCCTACGGGGAAGTTCCACACTCGGGCAGCCGCGTCTGCGAAACGCGACATGACCACAGGGATTGCACGTTGACTGACGCGCGGCGTGTGCTCATTATCACGAGCAGGCCGGTGACGTGCACGGGGGGTTACCACGGCCCCTTCGTTGTTCACGCTGACGAGTCGGGCCCCCGAGTGACGAGCGGACGCTTACAGGCCAGCCCTACAACCTCGAAACATCGCCTCGCTCCGTGCCTCTCTCTCTTCTTTTTTCACGATCAGAGGAAACAAGAAGATGCTCGGTGTAGTCGGCACTTTGCTTCGTTCATCATTTCTGGGTTTTTTTCGGTTTTTTTAATGCTTTGCTTCATGTGCCCCCCCCCCCCCCCTGTTTAAATGAAATATTTCACGAAAGATTGCACTCTCTGCTCTCCTCTTTCTTCCAGTGTTCAGAGGCCTGCTCAAGGCGCGGCTCCGGCTGGAGCATGCATACCACACACACGTCGGTGATGTGCACGTCTTCTTCGAACGCTGGGGAGCTGGAACGGCCCCTCTCTGCACCAGCGTGGACGGCACCCTCGTGTTCACCTTCTGAAGCGCTCGCTCGTCACCGTGGCGTGCGCGATGACCACCACCACCACGTGACTTTTCTTTTGTATTGTGCGCGGTGCTTTCAGCACCACAGCGCATGGATTTGTAACGATTTGTAACGTTTGTTTTCTTTGTTTGCTGGTGACTTTGTGTATTTCATATTGAAATCGCCTCCAGTGCTTTTGCTGCTGGCGGCAATTAAAGTTGTTTAAAAGTCAAAGTCTTTCTTCCCCTTCCCCTCTCTCTCTACCCCCTCTCTCTCTACCCCCTCTCTCTCTACCCCCTCTCTACCTCCTCTCTCCCTACTCTCTGTCTATGTTCCCCATCTCATCTCACTCTCGCCATCGCTCGTTTCGCAACACAACGACGCGTAGACGAAGCCAACAAACGAGCAGCGTCTCCGCCGCCGATAAAGCAACACAATTGGGCCTGACTGCGAGCACTAACTTCACCCTCATTAATTCACCGAGTCTGATAATGGCAGTCGTTGGTGCCACGGTGTACATCTATACGCGTCTCCGTGTTAATTAGCTATCGGGATCTTTTGTTACTTGGAATGCGCGTAATGGGTGCGCGTGCGTGCGTGCCTGCGCGTGCACGTGGCAGTGATTAGTGGTTCGCACTCTGCGCTATTCGTCCGAGTTGCCGCTTCAACTCCCGCCCCTCGCTGAGCACTCGAGGGTGTCCGAACGTGACCCGGCCCCCTCCCTTGCGAGTCAACTCAAACCGCAGATGAAAATCTGTATCGGCAGGGTGCAGATGTCACGGTGGGCAAAACTGCCGATGCCGCAAGACGCGTCGCCAACGCTGTCTAAGCCCCTGTGCCAGATACCGCAGCAGCCGCAGCACGGCAAACACACGACCTCCAAGACGTGCCCTTAATGGTATCCTAACTCGTAAACGCGTTGTGAATCATTGTGGGTGATAACCGATGCGGCCACCCGATGCACAAATTGGAACATCCAAGATTCGGCGGCCTGCGAGTGCGGCCACGAATTCCAAACCACCGCTGCAGCTGATGTCTTCGCTCCTTTAAAGGGGGAACGGAGGAGATCCACTCTGCGTCTGAACAGACAATTGAGTGGATAACAAATCTCAAATTACATCTTCAACCAGCTGCTATTAACCTGTACGAAAGACGATGTGCGAGAGCGCATCCTGTATATAAGCAGAGTTTAGTTCCGTGTCTCCGCTCAAATATTTGAGTCCGACTCACTTCATTCGGTACCTGGCTGAGGACCAACCCTGTCAACGCTCGGCACCCGCAAAGCCGAACTTGCCCTGGCCTTTGGGAGCGGTGCGTGCGAATGCCCCACAGCAAACGCCGTGGGAAAATGATCACGCGCGATCGTCTTATTTTTAGAGGCGACCTTGTTCCTGGGACTGTCAAATCTATTTATGCACCTCTGTGGAGCAATTAGCACCTGGCTGTTGCACGCCATTTATTTGTTCTTACATGACCACACGAACGACTTACGGTGTCAAAATGTTGACTCATGCGCCTTACTCAACTGGAGGCATTATGCAATAATGAACAAAATAACTAACTGCGTGGACTGCTTGACTGTTCCTTGGTCTTAGCAGTTCAGTGAACGTGGCATGCTGTGTATGTAGTTGGCCAGTGGAATGTTTCTATTTGCGGTGGTCAAGGATACCATCCGTTACCACCGCTGGATGATACCACACGGCCTTAATAAACGGGCATCGAATTCCCACTTTTTAGAGCCAAGCGGAATTGAAATTGGAGGTGCACGCACACTTAGACATGTGTATCTGAGTGCGTGTGCAGGTATGAACGGGGAGCCGTAGTGTAGCAGTTAGCGCGTTGCACTACGAACCCGGCTACCCGAGTTCGATTCCCGCTCATGGGCAACAACAGTGACGATGATATTATCTGAATCGGTCCTGGGCCTCATATCTCCAGCGTGGTGCTGGACACCCACCCCCTCGTATACCGTGCCGGCTTCATAGGTGCTCGCTCATAGCATATGCCCCAACAGTCTGTTAAAGACTACGAGGGGGATCTTTGCAGGTATGAGTGAATGCGCGTGGCGTGGGGTCACATCGTCTTCATATCCCAATCTCTCCACTGGCTCACGATGCAGTCCAGGATCACCGCCCTTTTTTTACACGATCTTACACGGACTCATTGATGCCTACCTCTCCCCTTTCATCTGCTTCTCCCCTCCATGCATTCTCCTACCTCCCTCCGCCAATCTCACTCGACTGCCATCCATCCACTCTCCTGCATCTACCTTCCATCTCAATCTCAGTCAAGTTTTACCCAGCGGGAGGTCGCTCCTTCTCCTCTGCTGCCCCTGTAGCCCGGAACCTCCTACCTCAACCACCGATGCTGCCAAACTCTCTGCCACTGTTCCGCTTAAGGCTTTACACCTTCCTCCTCACATCTGCCTGTGACTCTCCACTCTTCTCTTTCAAATCAAAGAGACAGCACATTAACGCGCTTTAATTATATGACTCCGTTAAAGTTGTAATGCACACATCCTGCCATGTTGTACAGCATCGCGGGATGCATGTCCGTTGCGTAGACAAAGCATCGAGGTGCTCTGTCAATCGCAATCGTGTAACAATGCAGTGTGAGCGTACCAGATGCGCAGCGCTGCAAGGCGCAGTACTCCCACAAGACGTTGGGATCCTGAGTGATGCACCAGGGTCCATTGGGGTCCGAGTCCGGATTCCTGCAGTAATTGTTCTCCAGACCAGCCTCCGGAAATCCTGGAAGACCAGGGAGCAGTCAATAAAGATGAAGACATGAATCAGGTCGCATTGTACGGGCTGTGCCGTGCGCTGTTCCGCATGATGTCCCACGTTTTCCCCCAGCTCCCATGATACGGAACGAAACGTCCGACATCAAGTCGAACAGCACGCGGTACGAATCTAGATCACATCAGGGAGGTATGCAACACAATTAGTAGTATTGAATTGAGGTCAATCTGTTGAGATCAAAAACCTATTTCTCAAGGGAGTTCTGGGTTAAGAAAGCAATGCATTATGCATGTGATTCAAATTCAAAACAATAAAATCCAGGGCCCCAACATTAAGAGATAAAACGTGATGTGATGCATATTTTAAAGCAGAATTTTGAAGTTCCATTGAGACGCATTTAAAGAATGAGGTTGGATGTCGACACGTGAATCAGAAACGGGGACACCGACAAAGAAGATTTCACAAAATATGAAGAGTGTGCAAATGCGTTTGCATTGAATAAGAGACGGAAATATGAACATTCGGATTAGCGAACGTGTGCACGTTCGGAACCATCATGTTGGCTTCAGTGGAGCGCGTGGGCTGCCCGGGGCAGGGCAAAATCAGAATCAGAAATCAGAATCAGAAATCAGAATCAGAAATGGTTTTATTCGCCATGAAAGTTCGCACAGACAAGGAATTTACTTTGGCCGGGAGGTGCATACATTCAACATTTAGGAATCTTAAATAAGTGGTTTACAAGTCTAACTATACTAAAGGTACAAGTCTAACTAGTACTAAGGAGCTAAAGTATGTAAAAATTTAATAAAATAAAGTCTAAAATATACAATAGCTATAATATACAATATACAATTGCAAAAATGCAAATAGGGTAACATAGTGCAAATATGGCAGGGTGTGATTGTGCAGATATTGTGTTAAAGTCAGTTTGAGCGTTAAAGTCAGTTTGAGCCCCTGGCCTTGTTGAAGAGACCAGCAGTGGATGGGAAGAAACTGTGTTTGTGTCGTGAGGTTTTGGTCCTGATGGACCGCAGCCTTCTGCCGGAGGGGAGTAGCTGGAACAGAGAGTGTCCGGGGTGGGAGGAGTCGGCCACAATCTTCCTCGCCAGCCTCAGGGCGAGGAGAGACTATGGCCCCAGTGGTCGAGACTAGGCGATGGTTTTGTGGGAATCCAAGGAGAGGACACCAACCACAGGCAGAGAAGAAACAACCATCGGCTCGCGTTCAGGCTGCTCCACGAGATCGTTACATCGCGGAGACTGTTGGGCGATGATGACGGTTTGGAAAGGCACGCGTACATCCAGCGGTGGATCGATCAAGGCTGAGAACAACTGTAGACACCACGTCCCTCTGGGACAGTGGTGGTTCTTAACCTGGGGTGCACGCACCCCCTGGCGGTGCGAGATGCCCTTTATGGGGGTAAGAGACATGGCCAGATTTTTTTAGAGGGTAAATCACGGGCACGTAAGTACAACTACTTCGTTTCATCAAACCTATGAATTAATTCACGTTATAAATAGTTTAACGATTGAGAATCAAAGGGTTTCAGGCTGCAGCGAAGGTTAAGAACCACTGCTCTAGGAGCGACTCAAACACGTGGGTCGTGCACCTCCTTTTGAGCGTGATCAGCGTAATTCCGCGAAATATTCCACACTTTTATCGCGAGCCAAACAAAAAAAGACCTGTCTGGGCACCGCCAAAGGCTCTCCTCCTGCTCTTATCCAGCCGCACCGCCTTCATTCTACTGAACAACTCAACGCTGACAACTGTGGAATGGCCCACGTCGGGTTGAGTGTTTCGGTGCGCAGCGAGCCGCAGATGAATGCGCGAAGAAAATGTGGAATGGGTTCCGATTTTCGTTTTACGTGAGAAAGAAATAAAAAAGGAGCTATCGTTATGGCCAAAAAGAATCGCTCGCTGCATGAATTAGGGCCCAGTGCATGGGCAGAGTTCGCGTGGGGGGGGGGGGAAACGGGACACCTTTATTAACTTATTTTCAGTATTTTAAAATAAAAATAAAAATATATATTATATGCATTCGCGATTCCTAATGTTAGGGACAAAGCGAACCCCTATCCCTTCCCTCGCCCCCCCCCCCCAAATATAGAAGTCAACCTCCACCTATGGCCCTGTGTCTTAACTCGAGTAGGTGGGTGAAGTTAGGAGGTAGCTGGTGGTGGATGACGGTCTCGCTCGGGTGCAACGACGCACACATGTTTGAATCCCCCCCCACCCCCCCGCTTCTAAATTAATTATCCATGTTAATATTCGCGGCAGCATGTGGACATTGCATGGTTGGCAAAATGAGATCATTTTACCAAACCTCTTATTGTGAATAATAATGCTGATGCAAATGAGCCGTTTCGAAAGTCTTGTACTTTACGTGGACCATGCATTCTACATGTGCGAATGAGACTACGCGATAAGACAACTGCCGCTTTAACTGTTGTGCCAAGTGACCTAATGCGCACACACATATATGGGTCATCAATACGTACCCTAAAATGTATGACCGACAGCATATATGTGCCATAGATATGCAGAGTATAGGAATGTGCTCTGGATTTACTGGTGGATCAGAAATATCCTAAAGCAAAGCCTAGATACGACATTTTGGACGGCCAGGAACAAATATTTGTACCGGATTGATACAAAACTGCAGGTGACTCCACAGATTTGACATCGCTGATCCGTTTTTTACACCAAAGATGGTGACGTGGCATCCGATTGCATCAGTTTTGCTGGCGTGCAGACACACACACACACATATATAATATAATCCGAAAAATCGAAAAGTATCCAAAATTGTCCTTCGAAAATCTGAATACATAATTTGTTTAAACCCACATTTCATAGAATAAGGATCCACACGAAGCCTTTGTGTGTGGTGCGCTCTCGCCTCCAGCAGCATCACTGAGACAGGCAGTCGGCGGAGGTCACGTCTTAACATCGAGGCCAGGACACTTTGTTTGTTCCGATCCTTACGACGCAAATGCCTTTTGCACGTTCACAAGAGAGCGACGCCGAAGATGCAAACTCAGACGAGCATGCATCCTCTTTGGCAGCGGCGGAACGGCTAATGGGATCGAAGGGCGGTGGCGATGAAGGAGCGGTTGTCATCGGCAGACGGTATATCACCTTACACCTCGATCAAGGACAAGCGGCCCTCTAATCTTGGTCTCGCAAAAGCAAACATTCGTAAGCGCAGCTGTGATGAGGGTGTGAACCCGGGGACCTGCGGAATTGGCGATACATTTGAAACCAGGATATGACTCACTGCTTCCGCCGGCCACCTGTCCCATCACAATTAGTATCAACAAAAAGAGTGACATTCGCAGTCATCGTGAGAGATTACTAGATAGAAAATTCACCGGATTTAATTAAAATTGTTAGGCATAAAGAGTAAGGCATGTATCAATGGGTCAAATGTCATGTTGTTATGATTTAGAGGTTGTACACCTCTTGTGGTAGAATGTTAATTTTACAGCATAGCAATGTGCTGTGCACAGAGGAAATCTCGTAAAATATTACGAGAGATAATTAAAGCAATTGCGATTCCATTGTGGACAAGCTTATAATACGCCTGCGATATACTCCGACTGAGAGAAAGTCATTAATTATGTTGACTCCATCCTCCATTTTCCTAGTCCAGGCTCAAGACCTTAGTCCGCATGCCTATGACTGACTGCCTGCCACTCTCTATAAAGTAAATATGCCCACTATTTCTGTACGGTGGCATCTTGAAATGAGGTCTCATTTAAAACAACCATGTAAAATCCACATTTATTTCCATCACTGTGATCCCTGCCCACACACTCTCTGTGCCGTGTTCCGCAGTTGCGTCCTTCTGACAGATATCTCCTGTTGTTTGGTGAACTTTTTTTTTCTGCAGAATGTGTATGTGATAAGTATATTATAATTAACAGAATAATAGGACTGCAATTGCACCGGTCTAATGCTGGGGGGAAGGTGCGGTGTTTAACCATTCTTCACCGCGCTCTTCAGTGTGCGCGAACATTATTATTTTTTTTACCAGGTAGGGCCCACTGAGCTATATAGCTGTTTTTTACTGGTAGGAACCTCCTGGTTACACCAGCCCACAGGGGATTATTGTGTCCGTCCGTCCGTCGTGAATCCAAAAATGGGAGGGGTGGGGCTGGGTGGAGAGGGGAGGGTGGGGAGGGGCTGGGTGGGGAGGGTGAGGAAGGGCTGGGTGGGGATGGTGAGGCTGGGTGGGGGTGGGAGGGTTGGGCTGGGTGGGGCTGGGTGGGGATGGGCTGGTCACCCCGTGGTGCCCTTATATAACTCAACGTCTAACCTACTCACGCCGGCTTGTGCCCACCCTCACAGCCGGCCATATTTGCGGAATACACCACGCCGCCTTTGACCCTGGCCATTGACCGAGCAACCCAACGTTCCTACCAGCTCCCTCCGCAGGAATGTGTTAATAAGCCACCTGGCCACAAATGATTGCTCAACGAAGTGGCTTAACATTTGGAAATTTGTAGCAGCCTGAAGTCACGAAAGCTTTAAATCGAAATCAGATTGTAAATGTCGTGGCTTTGCTCTCCAACGCACCGGTGTGCTGTACTAGTAACGATTTGGCACGTTCTGTTTCCGTGACAATCCTTACTAATTGGCAGTGGGGGGGTGGTGGCGGGTTTAACGACACATTTATATATTTACGCGATCTAACCCAAAAAAAACTGTATTATGGACGTACATACATGCATGTTCTCTGTTTGGTTCACGCAAGAACTGGCGACAACAACACAAGCAGCATTAGCAACAGCGACTGGCAACGGAAAGTGAGCTGCTCAAAATCCAGTGCCCTCCCAGGATGTGGAGCGAAACGTCGGACAGCGTGCTAAACAACACGCCGTGCAATTCACAGTTGATTTTTCGAGGTCAGTTCGCGTGAGTGGAAATTTGTGTCATACACCCTCCTCCACCCGACACGGACAATTTATAGAGTTGTCACGTGAACCAACGTTGCCAATGTATTGCTGTGTCAACAACCTCATGTGTTGGAGAAAATTCGACAGCATTTTAGCAATTGCGTATGGAAGTCTTCGCTGGCAGTTGACAGCAAGCAGCATCGTGCAGTTGCCAATGTCGTAAACAAAAATACCCAGCAGTCATCGGCCTTTGCTCATGTGGTTCGCGAAAGCCTTCTTGTTAAACACGCGGTTCAACACAAAAAAAACCCGCATAGCCATACATCGCCAGTGCGACAGGCATCGGCAGAAGCCCCAAGCACGTGGGGGTTGGGGGAGATGAACGTCGGGAAGATACCTTCTGGTGTGTACGCGTGCAGGTGCGGGGTTTTGCTGGCCCAGGTCTGGCACTGGTGGCCCGATGCAGTCAACGTCTGGAGTCCCCGGTATCCGGTCCCAGAGCCGGTGTAGCAGTGGTCCACCCACTGCACGGTCTGTGTGCTGACTGCAAAGACAAAGACACCGCGTAATAGCCTTAATGGACACAGGTCGTGTTTGCCTCTCGCATCAAGCGCTGTTAGCGAGTAGCACCTATGGAAGGCCGGCACGGCACACGAGGGGGGTGGGTGGCCAGAACCACTCCCGACCGCCTTTGTCTCCCCAGTGGCGATGCTTACACACCGCACCAGGTACTCATTTGAGGCTGAGTCGACCTCGGGTAGGCCCAGGACCGGTTCAGATAATCGTCACTATTGGTGGCCGTCAGCGGGAATCCAACTCGGTTCGCTGGGTTCGTAGCGCAGTGCGCGAACCGCTGCACTACCCTTCCTGACACGTGTTCACTCCACACACACGCACACAACACGAGTGTGCACAGACACAAAGATTTCCCGTTAGAGCCATACAGACTGCTGGAAGCGTGCACTTATTAAGGCAGGAACAGTGCATGATGGGTTGGTGTGCCCAGCACTGCGCCCGGACACCTTTGTATCCCATAATAGTTTTTTTACCCTTTTATCTGGCAACAAAACTGACACCTTTTTTTTTACAAGGAATCATGTTTGCATTGACCACAATACCTGCGGTCGGAATGCAAACAAAAAACACAACTCTGATAATGTATGCACTGTCCTTGAAATTGATTAGTCCACACCCGAGACAGCTTTTCTTAGAGCCTCGTCTCACATGGTGTTGGACCAGATGACGCCAAAAGGCGCACAACTCAAAGACAATGCACCATCTTTGTATCCCTCGAAAATTTACACAATCGTGCCAGGAACGAGTACTCATTTACGGCTGAATTAACCTCGTGCGCAGACACAAGATCGATTGAGATACCACTGCCTACTCATGTAAGCCGTGGTCAGAAATCGAACTCAGGTAGCCTAGGTTCGCAGCTCCGCGCGCTAACGACGGCTACAGAACTGCGCCACCACTCGACACGTCTAAGCCGAGCTCGAGTTTGCTTTTTTTACGGAGTAAAAATTAAATGAGACTTCACGGAGCATTTCCGACAAGTGGGAGGATTAAATAATGCACATACCCCCGGTGTTAAATTGATGTTCCTATAAAGTTATAATTTCCCAAGGGGGGATATCTACGTGTAAGTACGATAAGCGCACATCCTTTGCTCTGTATGAACGCATCGTGGCATACGCGTACGGCTACAATAGTTTGGCAATCAAGCCGTTAATCCAGTAACATCTTGGTGAGTCCCAAGACTCTTTTCAAGGGGGATCCTGTATCGACATGTTTGGGAAGTAAGTATTCATGAGCATTTGGCTTCCATGTGGAAGGTCACCGGACAACCCGGAGAAAACCCCATTCACGCACACGAGGGGGTGACACTGCGCACATCTGACAGCCTCGCACCGACGACACAGGGCACCCATGCGCTCGACCCCCAACTTTGCTTCCCAGCTCCGATCTCACGATCCGAGGAGATCGGCCCGCGTGCTGTTGCCACGTGTGTCGTGGAGATAACGTCAGGAACTGAGGTTCAAACGCTACCAGACGCCACTCCACGCCGCTGCGTAACGCACTTGACACACCGGTGTGCTGGACGTGAAACTCACCAGAGCAAAATTCAGCTAAGAGAAGTAACGCCAGAAGTTTCATGGTTCCACGTAGCGTCCGATGTCTCAGCAAGAGCCACCTTTTACTCGGTCAGACAGACGAGTGAGCGACTGTGTGTGATATCACACGTGTAAGAGATGTGTGTGTGTGTGTGGAAATATATATATGCCTACACCTGCACACACGCGCGCGCGCATGAACACACACACCACCTTGTCTCAGCCCCGCCTACAGGTGCCAAGTTTAAACGATCCGTCATAGACGCCTTGACCTTTAAGGTGAAGGGCAAGGACTGCGTACACACAACATCAGGGCAGTGCGTGCGGGCGAGGGTTTCATGAATGTGAACCCGGCTCTCACTTTATTGCGGGGGGAGGGGGTTAGAAAACACACAACAGAGCTAAGAGATTAATAGCATTCACAAAGAATGCTATTTTTTGTATTTTTACAGATGGACATCGGAGATGGGTAGAACACGCGGTTAAAACGTCGGGTCACCGCTCGCCAACGCGTACCGCGCGTGTTGCCGATGTCACGCGCAGAGAGAAATATCAAACACAAATATCCCGTGGGTGACGGACGAGTGTCAATTGTCTAACACGGTGCGTAACTGATCAGATGCAGTTTGCAACCGGTCGCAACGACTGCTCTTTCGGCCATAGGGATGTGGAACTTCCACCAGTGGCTCAGAACAACTAAGCCAGACGAGCATGGACGTGGTAATTCGCGGCAGTAACCATTCATCATCATCACCACCACCACCACCTCGCGGCGATTCGATTCGATGGTCGTGATTCATCGGCAAGAGTCCATGCAAGCTATTGTATATATATGTTCTTCATATACAAATTGTTTGATAAATCGTGGTGAATGCAGTGGCCTCTAGCGGCTGCCGGAGTCACGTGAGTCCGTACAACATACCAATCTAACAGTATCGATTTTGTTTTGTTACACGCAGCGATTACAAGGCTTAATAAACGATATTAATTAATCAATTATGCCACGCATCGTTGCGCGTGCGAATGTGAAAACATTCCCACGTAACTGTCAGGGAACGGAGGTGCGTGGTGGATAGCACACTGCACTGTCAACCTGGCGAGCTGAGTTCGAGTCCCAGCCGCGGCTAACAACAACGGTGTCTGACCCTCGGCACCATCCTTCACCAGACCCACCGACCAGAATAACCGACAAAGGCGTGCGGAACAATTCAGCTCATCCAGCAGTGGATGAACACGTCGCTGAACCGTATCCATGATTTCATGCCTAGCGCGAGCATCTACTGCGCATCCTGTGGTTGTACTGGGAGAATGGGTAGTTATTTAAACATTCCAGAAAGAGTGTAAAATGCCGTATTAAAATATCAGCTCGTGTTTGCCTTTCGCATAAAACACCCACCTCGCCCCTCCTCCCCTCCCCTTCATAATGACGTGCACGCGGCTTAATTGAACCTCTTGTGAGGCACGGATGGAGCCTATGCGTGCTTCACAGCCAAACAAAAAGCGTATTAATAAATGATTGCTTACATTACGCCATACACTTACACTGCGCGTGGCGCGTGCACACGCATGCATAATGCATGCTTGGCTATTGCCTACATGCATGCATAAAACATGCTCGGACGAACGCATTAATATATGCGTTCAAACTGGCAGGCACGACACGCTGGCGTTATGCTGCTTGCTGCCTCTGCGATTGTGCGATTTCTTTTTTGTTTGCAGGGATGGAAATACATCGCTAGCTGGGATGCTGCCGTTCGTGTAATGGTTAACGCGCTGTTTCTTGAAATCCAAATGTCGCCTCTTTGTTTCTTGAATCCCTCTGCCACCTCGATCCTATGCTGAGCTTCTTTCGCACCGTACGTAAGCCAACCGTGCCAATCGGAGGTGCGGGGGAAGGACAACAAACTAGACAGAAGAAGCAGTTCTAAAGAAATGCAATTTTCAATCTAGAATTCTAGGTGGTTTAAACAATGCGTAGCTCCGGTGACTTCCTAATATCGGATGGAAGAGCGTTCCAGACGGCCGCACAAGCGCATATGAATGCGCGCGATGCGGTGACCGTTTTTGTTCGATGTCCAGCCAAAAGCCGCTCCTGCGAGGATGACCGGAGTGTCGCGTGATGATGGCGTATGCTCGTTGACGAAATCAACAAGGTATTGTGGTTCATTTGTGGCAAGCACTTTGGGTGCAATGAGCGCGACCTCGTAATGTTTTCGTTCGCCAACCGGAAGCCACTGCAGCTCGGCGAGCAAGGGACGGACACGAACAGATCTTGCAGCACCCGTCACGACACGAGCACAGTTGAATTGTAGGTCGCGAGATGATGGAGTCAAGTTTGGGTACTCCCACCGGATTCAAGACAGCTGTCCCAGGGTGGAATAAGTAGGCCGAACAAAAGTGACATGTAGCACGGCTTTCTAGAGATCCCTCCAGTGGAGGCCTTTCCACCAGCAGTGGTTTGAGAGAGCACTTTCAGGGCTGCGCCTTGACCAAAGGTCACTCTGGCAAGCGACACTTACTCTGGTCTCGTGAGTTCGCGCCTGGTTAAACAAATTAAGGTGAAAGACGACTTCCTTTACTTTCCAAACACTGTCGGTCAAAGTCGCGTTGATGCCATTTCAGTCAAGGTGATCAACAGCCACACCTGCCGTGATCCAGTGCTTGAAGGGGCGATTCGTTCGTGAATCACACACATTTGCTAAGCTCACGAAAACCCCGCGTGTTGCGAGGTGGCCGGAAGATGGCAGTACAGCAAGCGGGGTCGGTGAAATCCATCTGTGTGGAGGTTTGAGAGTTGTCCCCTCGTGTTGGTGGGTGGGTCGGGTAGGTAGACAGTGGGTTGATCCACTTACTCTGCCTCCTGCAAGAAGCCAAAAAAAACCATGATCGTCAATGAAATTGGCCAAACTTCGCAAGCAATGCAGGACCCTCATGAAAAGGAGCTTTAAGGCTCAGCGAGGCTTTGCTGAGTCAACGAAGAACATTACTATTAGGATGAGGCTCAGAGCACGATGCGTTAAAAAGTTTTCTCGTAATATTTATTTTTAAAAATCGTCGTTCAAACTTCACAGCGGAATTCAGCGGACTCTAGAATATGGAGTTTTTTTTATTAGCCACGTTTACAGTTTTGATTGGAAGCAGCTTAATAAAGTGTTTCGCTTAATCAACAGGATCGTAATTTATTCTGCTGATTACATCGGCTCCGTCTCATTGACTTTTATGCTTGCCTGGTAGGAATCACGAGAGAGTCTGAAACGATCACAATCAGCAGCGCCCGGTGAACCCAGACTTTCCCCAAAACTCACCGCGGATCACCACGACCCCTCTCACCTGCACCCGAGTTTCAGCTCAAATAGAAAATTAAGTGGTGAGACGCTGCACGCAATCCGATGAATTACGACTCTATCTTAATTCGAATCGGCGTTGTGTATACATTTTAGCCACCACCATCATCATCATCAGGCGTGTGCATCGTGTGGCGTCTTAATTTTGTGTTTGAACGCAGAGGAGACGTGACCGTGGTGGCTTAATGAGGACTGAAGTTTGGAAAGCCTGAAATGTCGCCGGGGTTTCATTGCACACTCGATATTTTCCGGAACGCTGCTGCTGCTGCTGCTATGGGCTGGCTTGGAGTGAGAACGATCGGCGTAAGGCACTACCACTCGAGTACACGGTACGCCCGTGTATAATAATCCTGTGGAATTGTACCCTATCTTCTTCCCTAAGTGGGTGGTTTACCATAGGGTCATCTATTCACGCACGTGATTTGCCCACCATCGCACACAATATCACAACATCGCGAGGACAACAACAACAAAGAAGCCCTGAAGAGGACAATTCCAGCACATCCATACCCGGTTGTGCATTTGCTTTGTGGCACGAGAACGTCAAGATGTATTTGTACCAGGTAAGACCCACCGAGCTACGTAGGTCTTTTTTGCAGAAACGACCTGGTCACAAATGATAGCTGGAAGAAGTGGCTGACCATCGTGTGGACATTCATAGCAGCCAAAAAAATACTCGAAACACGTGATGTTGATTTTTAAATGTGGGGAGGGAAAACCGGAGGACCCAGAGAAAAAAAAATCCACGCGAACCACGCGGAGAGAGACATTCAAACTCCAAATATACAGCATGTGTCAGGGTCGGGAACGAACCCATGATCCTCCTGCATACCAGGCGAGCGAATGCACATCTCGGCACCACGGCAGAGGCAAAGCCATACCAGCGAGTGACGCCCGCTCTCGTGAGCGCACTCCCGACTCCTCAATCTCCCATTGTAGAGATGAGCGCGAGAGATGAAGCTTCAATTAGTAGCTCATTACGCATAATGAAATGATTCTTTGTACAATAACGGGTGAGGCATAAGCCTCAAATATAAGGTCATGTCTGGCCATTCCGTAGGATGAGACCGGAGAGCGAGGGGGAGAGAGAGAGAGAAAAACATGCCCTCTCGTGATTAATGTGTTTCGCGCTTGAATTAAATATGAGCTATCTTAAATTAATTCGTCTTGCCTGGGTATTCTTGGCTGCGTTGGTACGTATGGCTAGGCACGCGTGTGTACGTTGTGTGCACAGGGCCGGATTAAGGCACGAGGCTTGAGGGGCTGCAAGCCCAGGGGCTTCTGCCAGCCGGATGGCCTCCAGAGATGAAGTGAAAAAGTTATTTCGTTGGTGAATGCTGAATTTGATTTGTTGTTAGCCTTGCAAAAAATACATTGTATTTTTATTTAATTTTTTTTCCTTTTGAAAATATTACTGGGGGCCTCACAGTACCTGTAGCCCATAGGCCAACACAATCTTAATCCGCCCCTGTGTGTGCGTGTGGAGAGTGTGTGCGTGTAGTGCATGTGGAAAGTGTGTGCGTGTGTGCGTGTGTGCATGTCGAGAGTGTGCGCGTGTGTGTGTGGAGTGTAGCGGTTAGCGCGTTGCGCTACGAACTCGGCTACCAGAGTTGGATTCCCGCTCACGGCCAACACGAGTGACGATTTTCTGAACCGGTCCTGGGCCTCCCCTAGGTCGACTCAGCCTCAAATGAGTACCTGGTGCGGTGTGTGAACATTCTCACTGGGGAGACAAAGGCGGCCGGGCGTGGTGCTGGCCACCCACCCTCTCGTGTGCCGTACCGGCCTTCATATATGCTCGCGAACAGCACTTG